AAATAGAATATAATAGTGCCTTACAACAATGGTGCTGATTTACTGATTTTCGCCACGCTTATCAAACAGCATTATCTATATGTGTATATATATATATATATATATATATACACATATCGATAATGCTGTTTGATAAGCGTGGCGAAAATCAGTAAATCAGCACCATTGTTGTAAGGCACTATTATATTCTATTTGTGAGAGAAAGAGAGATATAGAAATAGAGATAGAGAGAGAGAAAGAGAATGCACGTTTCAGGCTTGAGCGTCTCGTTGCAGCTTGCAGCATTATCAATAATTATTTCAATTGTCGAACGCGCAATAATGGCCAAAGACCGGTGTAATATTTAAGATAAAATCTCTTGAAAATTTCTCGAATGTCTCAAACGTGAAAGTAAAAATGAAGTAAAAATCTCTCGAATACCTTAGCCGATGTAAGAGTATTAGGTACCGCAGCATCAAGATCGAGGATGGACAACAATAAGAATACTGCAGTGGCTCGTATTGTCGGGAACACCATCGTGTTCTCTCCAGTATTCTGAATGCGTTTCTTAGAAAACGATGAAAGAACGGAGGAACTTGTCTGGAAAACACGCCCGCGCGCAACACTTTACACGCATACACTCGCTACATTCCCATGTTCCCAGCATACAACGCATTCCTGTTTATCTGGCTTTTTATTCGACCGGCGGTATATTCCACGAGACTCATTAGTTTTTCCGATCGATGATCTTCCGAGTTTTTTTTATCGATAAATTTCAGAACGCGAAAAAAGGGACACACACGGTTATGAAATAATAAATAAATTTCTTTTAGGAGAAGGCGTGAAACATGCTACGACCTACAGCGAGCATGCAACCGTAGCGAATGCCGCGGATCAACTGGCACTGCTTCTTGCCAGTTGCCACTTGCCAGGCCGCGCGCTGGACCGAGCAATCGAGCAATCGAGCAATCGAGCAACCGAGCAACCGAGCAACCGAGCAACCTCTGCATGCCTCTCTGCCATGTGCCATGCAGCAGCCTTATACTTATTCCGGCACTTTGCTACTGCGTTGCTCCTCTAACTAACACTTCCGCACTTTCAATAGGTCCAATGCTGCAGGATTGCTACCTGCAGGCCCTGATCTCAACTATCCTCGTTATTTATCGGGATTATCGGGAATAAGGATGCACAAGATACACACACACACACACGCGCGCGCGCGCGCGCACGCACACTATTATGAGATACCGAGTTCATTTTGGGTAAATGCTAGAAATCTACAGGCAGAATTTTAAAGAATGATAAGTCATTTTAAAGGGAATTTAATAAGCTTTAAGATAACGTTATATAAAATTTAATTCAAATTCCATTTTTTTTTGAAAATTAAAGAAATATAAAAAGTAAGCAAATCACAAAGTCAAAAAGTTATGCTCCTAATATGAGACGCCCCGAGAAATCGAGTAAAATGCAAAGTTTATTGCAAAAACTTTATTTCATGTTTCTAAAATACAAACAAACACAGCCAGCGTGCGTGAAAAATGAGCATGCGATAGATTATACCCAGAACTCGTCTTCAGGTAGTTGGGATCAAGCATCGCAGAAATAGACCCTCGACGTTCATTCCGGTTGTCCTTTTTATTATTGTACAATAACACTTATTCTTTAGCAACGATTTTCACTATGACATAGGAGCATTATTTCATGTTAGAAATACCCTGGATATCCTATATTACGATTTCCACGCCTTATGGTTTTCATGATCATCAAATCTAACTTCTGTAATTAAAGAATTCAACATATCCCGTATTTTTCTATTAGTACGATCTTACTCTATCACTACATGAAGAATTTGTTGTCAAATATTTATTTATTAATTAATAAACAAGATTTAAAGGCTCGTCTCAATGAAACTTGAAGACATTCAAATTCTAAAATATTTTTTTACAATAACTACAGGCATGATTTAATAATGAATTTTCCACTAAATAGTTTTCAATCCAAGAGCAATAAATTCATGGTAGAACCAATAGATAGCGTTTATTAGTTTAACAGAAAAGCCGCTATCTCATATTAGGCGCCTATCTCATAATAGGGGGTTTTCCTCTATATATATAATCTAGAAACCAAACAACTCAAATTATTTAGCTCTTTAATGCATGATTAGTATTTTTGACAATTTGGTTTATATAAAATACGATTCCGATAACTTTAACACATCACGCGTTACGCTTTTTTTTCAATCATTTTTTAATTTACTTGAAAATAGAAGCTACGACTACTTACATGACGCGTTACAAAGTACATGCATATTAAAAAGAAACTTGATAAAGAATTTGAAAAAAATAGAAAATTAACAAACTAAACTAAATTAAAACTAAATTTCGAAATTAAACTAAATTAAAGTAAAGTACAGAAATAAGCTTAAATTAAAAACGATATGTTAATCTTTTAAGGATAATCCGCTTTCAAAGAATGTTTCTAAAAAATATATAGATGAAACAATTTTCGTTATTCTTTTGATATAAAAAAAAAAGGTAATGCAAGTGCAATCATGCATGACCGGCGTATCCAGAAGAGAGGGTTGGGAATTCAATTTTTCTCCTTAAAATTGTTTATTTATTTTTTTATTTTTAATTATAAAACATGTCTAAATCTGGCAAAATCTGGCTAGTCAATTCAAGGATAATTCTAGGATATTCCAGGTAAAATTCTGATTTTTCCAGGATTCATCCCATCAATTAATTTTCATCGATTTGCACAATATATGCTTTGTATTCAATAGTTATTCTATAAATGAATTAAAACACTAACACGTTTGGAGCAATATTATTTATTGTTTTATAAGTGATATTAAACAAATATTCCGTCAATACAAATAATTTTTCCATGTTCTATTTTAGACGTTAAATTCAAGTTTTTTTATTGATAACTTATTGCATCTCTTTATGGCAGAATTTGTACCCAAACACAACTTTTCTTTTTATTATTTCTTTCTTTTTTCACGCTGATTTTTAGAATAAAAGAATGATGGATAAATTCAAGATCAGCCTTGAAATTTCAGGGGTTTTCCAGGAATTCTTCAGAATACATAAAATTCCAATATAATTCAAAGATCCAAGGATATTCAAAGATCGCTGGACACCATATAAAAGAATACAACTTCACTTTTGACTCGCCGAGTAATTTTTTGTTGTCGCATAAAATATTTTTTCTCTTTGTTACAACTACATAAAATTTTGGCAAGATTTTTGAGCC